AGACAAGCACCAAGGACAAGGCTTCTGTGATAAAAGTATCATTTTCAGGAACAGCGTGTCTCTCTTATCTCACTCAGACCTGATGTGTGTGTTGTAGGTCCTAATATCTCACTCAGACCTGATGTGTGTGTTGTAGGTCCTAATATCTCACTCAGACCTGATGTGTGTGTTGCAGGTCCTAATATCTCACTCAGACCTGATGTGTGTGTTGTAGGTCCTAATATCTCACTCAGACCTGATGTGTGTGTTGTAGGTTCTAATATCTCACTCAGACCTGATGTGTGTGTTGCAGGTCCTAATATCTCACTCAGACCTGATGTGTGTGTTGTAGATCCTGATATCTCACTCAGACCTGATGTGTGTGTTGTAGGTCCTAATATCTCACCCAGACCTGATGTGTGTGTTGTCGGTCCTAATATCTCACTCAGACCTGACGTGTGTGTTGTAGGTCCTAATATCTCACTCAGACCTGATGTGTGTGTTTTAGGTCCTGATAATTTACTCAGACCTGATGTGTGTGTTGTCGGCCCTAATATCTCACTCGGACCTGATGTGTGTGTTGTAGGTGCTAATATCTCACTCAGATCTGATGTGTGTGTTGTAGGTCCTGATATCTCACTCAGACCTGATGTGTGTGTTGTCGGTGCTAATATCTCACTCAGATCTGATGTGTGTGTTGTAGGTCCTGATATCTCACTCAGACCTGATGTGTGTGTTGTAGGTGCTAATATCTCACTCAGACCTGATGTGTGTGTTGTAGGTCCTGATATCTCACTCAGACCTGATGTGTGTGTTGTCGGTCCTAATATCTCACTCAGATCTGATGTGTGTGTTGTAGGTCCTGTTGTAGAATTAAAATGTTGTATACTAATGATTTTAAGTGTGTTTGCATAACATGTCTTTGTGCAATATTAAGCCTGGATTTAGTGGAATTCAGACAAGCACCAAGGACAAGGCTTCTGTGATAAAAGTATCATTTTCAGGAACAGCGTGTCTCTCTTATCGGGACAAGGCCTGAGACACAAAACTGGACTAGGCCAGACTGGGACCAGCCTCAGACCATATGACGTCATCGGACATTCTGATAAAACTGTTGGGAGGACACATTGTGGGCAGTCTGAGCACAGGGATAGATTTAGGGAATTAATAGCTCCGAGGGTTCTGTATCAACATTTAATTGTAAAGAGAAATAAATGTTCTATTGTAACTCTTCTGTACCAAATTCTGAACACGTCAGTCAAATCATTTTTGACAACAGTCCTAATATCTCACTCAGACCTGATGTGTGTGTTGTAGGTCCTAATATCTCACTCAGACCTGATGTGTGTGTTGTAGGTCCTGATATCTCACTCAGACCTGATGTGTGTGTTGTAGGTCCTGATATTTTACTCAGACCTGATGTGTGTGTTGTAGGTCCTGATATCTCACTCAGACCTGATATGTGTGTTATAGGTCCTAATATCTCACTCAGGCCTGATGTGTGTGTTGTAGGTCCTAATATCTCACTCAGACCTGATGTGTGTGTTGTAGGTCCTAATATCTCACTCAGACCTGATGTGTGTGTTGTAGGTCCTAATATCTCGCTCAGACCTGATGTGTGTGTTGTAGGTCCTAATATCTCACTCATACCTGATGTGTGTGTTGTAGGTCCTAATATCTCACTCAGACCTGATGTGTGTGTTGTAGGTTCTAATATATCACTCAGACCTGATGTGTGTGTTGCAGGTCCTAATATCTCACTCAGACCTGATGTGTGTGTTGTAGATCCTGATATCTCACTCAGACCTGATGTGTGTGTTGTAGGTCCTGATAATTTACTCAGACCTGATGTGTGTGTTGTAGGTCCTAATATCTCACCCAGACCTGATGTGTGTGTTGTCGGTCCTAATATCTCACTCAGACCTGATGTGTGTGTTTTAGGTCCTGATAATTTACTCAGACCTGATGTGTGTGTTGTCGGCCCTAATATCTCACTCAGACCTGATGTGTGTGTTGTAGGTCCTGATATTTTACTTAGACCTGATGTGTGTGTTGTAGGTCCTAATATCTCACTCAGACCTGATGTGTGTGTTGTCGGTCCTAATATCTCACTCAGACCTGATGTGTGTGTTGTAGATCCTGATATCTCACTCAGACCTGATGTGTGTGTTGTAGGTCCTGATAATTTACTCAGACCTGATGTGTGTGTTGTAGGTCCTAATATCTCACCCAGACCTGATGTGTGTGTTGTCGGTCCTAATATCTCACTCAGACCTGATGTGTGTGTTGTCGGTCCTAATATCTCACTCAGACCTGATGTGTGTGTTGTCGGTCCTAATATCTCACTCAGACCTGATGTGTGTGTTTTAGGTCCTGATAATTTACTCAGACCTGATGTGTGTGTTGTAGGTCCTGATATCTCACTCAGACCTGATGTGTGTGTTGTCGGTCCTAATACCTCACTCAGACCTGATGTGTGTGTTGTAGGTCCTAATATCTCACCCAGACCTGATGTGTGTGTTGTCGGTCCTAATATCTCACTCAGACCTGATGTGTGTGTTGTCGGTCCTAATATCTCACTCAGACCTGATGTGTGTGTTGTCGGTCCTAATATCTCACTCAGACCTGATGTGTGTGTTTTAGGTCCTGATAATTTACTCAGACCTGATGTGTGTGTTGTAGGTCCTGATATCTCACTCAGACCTGATGTGTGTGTTGTCGGTCCTAATACCTCACTCAGACCTGATGTGTGTGTTGTAGGTCCTAATATCTCACTCAGACCTGATGTGTGTGTTGTAGGTCCTAATATCTCACTCAGACCTGATGTGTGTGTTGTAGGTGCTAATATCTCACTCAGATCTGATGTGTGTGTTGTAGGTCCTAATATCTCACTCAGACCTGATGTGTGTGTTGTAGGTCCTGATATCTCACTCAGACCTGATGTGTGTGTTGTAGGTCCTGATATCTCACTCAGACCTGATGTGTGTGTTGTAGGTCCTGATATCTCACTCAGACCTGATGTGTGTGTTGTAGGTCCTGATATTTTACTCAGACCTGATGTGTGTGTTGTAGGTCCTGATATCTCACTCAGACCTGATGTGTGTGTTGTAGGTCCTGATATCTCACCCAGACCTGATGTGTGTGTGTATGTGTGTGTGTGTGTGTGTGTCTGTGTGTGTGTATCAATAACACATCTAAATGTTAGTGATTGGTTAGTGGAGGCAACAGTGGCTCAGTTGGTAGAGCCTGGCCTTTGAGCCTGAAGGTTGTGGGTTTAAGCCCACCACAGAACCTTCTCCATCGACTCCCAGTGATCTCTGATGTCGTTATGTCCTTGGGCAAGACACTTAACCCCACATTGCCTGACGCCCCCGGTGAGAAATCAAGGCTGTATCGTCACTGACGGAGCAGCTGTCCTCCTGTGGACCCTCCACCTGCAGGATCAGTGAGGGGCCGGCGCTAAGACCCTCCAACTGCAGGATCAGTGAGGGGCCGGTGCTAAGACCTTCCAACTGCAGGATCAGTGAGGGGCCGGTGCTAAGACCCTCCACCTACAGGATCAGACCCTCCACCTGCAGGATCAGTGAGGGGCCAGCGCTAAGACCCTCCACCTGCATTATCAGTGAGGGGCCGGCGCTAAGACCCTCCACCTACAGGATCAGTGAGGGGCCGGCGCTAAAGGGGCGTTCACACCGGACTTAACTTCGGCGTCAAAAGCGTCAGGTTTGCATTGAAAGTGAATGGTGAAGCGCGTCAGGTGAAGCCGAGAGCCCCGGCGTCACTTGACGCGCGTCAAAAGCTTCAAGAGTCGCGCGTACTACGCGCTCACTTGAAGCTTTTGACGCGCGAAACGCTCGCGTATCAAAACAATCCCTCTGACGCCGAAGCTGAGCAAAGCTGAGCTTTTGAAGCTTTGACGCGGGCTTCAACCAATCAGGAGACGAGGAGCAGCAGCAGCAGAGGGTCTGTCTCTGTCATGGAGAGAAGTCATGTATCTGCTGCTGCTGTTTTATTGTTATTAGTAATATTATTTTTATGAGTAGTAACGTTCTGAGTAACAAAAATCATTGTACACATGCTGTGTAGTAAACGTAGTTTATTTAATATAAGAACAGGCTGACGATGAGTCTGGCTCAGAGCAAGGCAGCTCCGGGCGGGCGAGAGCCGGGGAGAGGCGAGCGAGAGCCGGGGAGAGGCGAGCGAGAGCCGGGGAGAGGCGAGCGAGAGCCGGGGAGAGGCAGTGAGAGGCAGGGAGAGGCGGGGAGAGGCGAGCTCCGGGGTTTGAGAACTCAGACTGGGTGAGTGACATGCGGAAGTACTGCTGAAAGCGAGACTCCTCCGTACGCAGCTCCTGGAGTAAATGACAGAACTCTGCAAACACTGCAGCCTCTCAAGTCTGTGGTGAACCCAGAACATGTTTTGTTGAAGCCCTACAACAACGTTATTTTGCTTTATATAACAAATAAAGGCTCGCTGCTCATTGAAAAATCCACCGCTGTCCTGACTACAGGCAACAGAGAAGCTCCTCCCACAGACAACAGAGAAGCTCCTCCCACCGGCAACAGAGAAGCTCCTCCCACCGGCAACAGAGAAGCTCCTCCCACCGGCGTCAGGCGCGTCACTCGCGTCAAAAGCTTCAAGCACCAAAATGACAAAACTATCCCGGCGTCAGTTGAAGCGCGTCAAAAGCTTTTTGAAGCTTTTGGTCTGAACGCGCCTTAAGACCCTCCACCTGCAGGATCAGTGAGGGGCCGGCGCTAAGACCCTCCACCTACAGGATCAGTGAGGGGCCGGCGCTAAGACCCTCCACCTGCATTATCAGTGAGGGGCCGGCGCTAAGACCCTCCACCTACAGGATCAGTGAGGGGCCGGCGCTAAGACCCTCTACCTGCAGGATCAGTGAGGGGCCGGCGCTAAGACCCTCCACCTGTGAGAAAAAGCAATCGCTATAAACCCGGAAGTTACTATTAACATTAATACAACATTTTAAGAACATTTGCTCTGTGTGCGTGTGCGTGTACCATGGTTCTGTCTCCTGGTTCTGCCCCTCCGTACCTGAAAAACATAAACATGACGACTGTAAATTGTTTATATCCTAAAGGGGCGTTCACACCGGACTTAACTTCGGCGTCAAAAGCGTCAGGTTTGCATTGAAAGTGAATGGTGAAGCGCGTCAGGTGAAGCCGAGAGCCCCGGCGTCACTTGACGCGCGTCAAAAGCTTCAAAAGTCGCGCGTACTACGCGCTCACTTGAAGCTTTTGACGCGCGAAACGCTCGCGTATCAAAACAATCCCTCTGACGCCGAAGCTGAGCAAAGCTGAGCTTTTGAAGCTTTGACGCGGGCTTCAACCAATCAGGAGACGAGGAGCAGCAGCAGCAGAGGGTCTGTCTCTGTCATGGAGAGAAGTCATGTATCTGCTGCTGCTGTTTTATTGTCATTATTGTTATTAGTGATATTATTTGTATGAGTAGTAACGTTCTGAGTAACAAAAATCATTGTACACGTGCTGTGTAGTAAACGTAGTTTATTTAAAATAAGAACAGGCTGACGATGAGTCTGGCTCAGAGCAAGGCAGCTCCGGGCGGGCGAGAGCCGGGGAGAGCCGGGGAGAGGCAGGGAGAGGCGAGCGAGAGCCGGGGAGAGGCGAGCGAGAGCCGGGGAGAGGCGAGCGAGAGCCGGCGAGAGGCAGGGAGAGGCGGGGAGAGGCGAGCGAGAGCCGGGGAGAGGCAGGGAGAGGCAGGGAGAGGCAGGGAGAGGCGAGCGAGAGCCGGGGAGAGGCAGGGAGAGGCAGGGAGAGGCAGGGAGAGGCGAGCGAGAGCCGGGGAGAGGCAGGGAGAGGCAGGGAGAGGCAGGGAGAGGCAGGGAGAGGCGAGCGAGAGCCGGGGAGAGGCGGGGAGAGGCGGGGAGAGGCAGGGAGAGGCAGGGAGAGGCAGGGAGAGGCAGGGAGAGGCAGGGAGAGGCAGGGAGAGGCAGGGAGAGGCGAGGAGAGGCGGGGAGAGGCGGGGAGAGGCGGGGAGAGGCGGGGAGAGGCAGGGAGAGGCGAGGAGAGGCGGGGAGAGGCGGGGAGAGGCAGGGAGAGGCAGGGAGAGGCAGGGAGAGGCAGGGAGAGGCAGGGAGAGGCGAGAGAGAGCCGGGGAGAGGCGGGGAGAGGCGGGGAGAGGCGGGGAGAGGCGAGCGAGAGCCGGGGAGAGGCGGGGAGAGGCGGGGAGAGGCGGGGAGAGGCGGGGAGAGGCAGGGAGAGGCGGGGAGAGGCAGGGAGAGGCAGGGAGAGGCAGTGAGAGGCAGGGAGAGGCGAGCACCGGGGTTTGAGTGACATGTGGAAGTACCGCTGAAAGCGAGACTCCTCCGTACGCAGCTCCTGGAGTAAATGACGGAACTCTGCAAACACTGCAGCCTCTCAAGTCTGTGGTGAACCCAGAACATGTTTTGTTGAAGCCCTACAACAACGTTATTTTGCTTTATATAACAAATAAAGGCTCGCTGCTCATTGAAAAATCCACCGCTGTCCTGACTACAGACAACAGAGAAGCTCCTCCCACAGACAACAGAGAAGCTCCTCCCACCGGCAACAGAGAAGCACCTCCCACCGGCAACAGAGAAGCTCCTCCCACCGGCAACAGAGAAGCTCCTCCCACCGGCGTCAGAGAAGCTCCTCCCACCGGCGTCAGAGAAGCTCCTCCCACCGGCGTCAGAGAAGCTCCTCCCACCGGCATCAGGCGCGTCACTCGCGTCAAAAGCTTCAAGCACCAAAATGACAAAACTATCCCAGCGTCAGTTGAAGCGCGTCAAAAGCTTTTTGAAGCTTTAGGTCTGAACGCGCCTTTAATGTGTTCATGGTCAAAGCTCTCCTCACCAGATCCACTAGCATGCTAAACTGTGATGTCACTGGTACCTCATCATGGCCTGTGTCCCAGCATGCACTGCTCTGGCCCAGTCCCCTGATTGGCTCTCCTGGGTCACATGGGGCGCAGCAGCCGAGAGGAACAGAGAGTACATCTGCAACAAAATGTTAGATTATAGGTCACTATTACAGGTACTACAGGTACCACAGGTACTACAGGTACCACAGGTACTACAGGTACTACAGGTGCTACAGGTACAACAGGTACCACAGGTACTACAGGTACAACAGGTACTACAGATACAACAGGTACTACAGGTGCTACAGGTACCACAGGTACTACAGGTACAACAGGTACCACAGGTACTACAGATACAACAGGTACTACAGGTGCTACAGGTACCACAGGTACTACAGGTACTACAGGTACTTACAGGTACTACAGATACAACAGGTACTACAGGTACTACAGGTACTACATGTATTACACGTACTTACAGGTGCTACAGGTAATACAGGTACTACAGGTACCACAAGTACCACAGGTACAACAGGTACTACATATACTACAGGTACCACTGGTACTACAGGTGCTACTGGCAACACAAGTACAACAGGTGTGACGAATATTCACAAAATGCTGCACATCAGACAAAGGAATATGCACTCAGGAATCATAAGAGATGACCAGCTTACAAAACCAGACAATTATTGACTCCAAGAATAAACAAATGCTCTCTCCCACTCTCGACGAGGGCAAAAGTCCAACACAATCAGGCGCCCAGTGGTGGGGGGCATTGTTTGCTCAGGTGGAGATGGAAGACCGGGTCCAGACCAGGACCAGGGGCCAGACCAGTCCCAGATCTGTGACGTCATCAGACCCTTTGATAGAAACTGCTGGGAGGAGATTGGCAGTCAGTCAGCCGAGGGCCAGGAGAGGGACATATTAGTTTAGGAGCACTTTTTTTGTTGAATATTCTGTATCTGATTGTAAAGATAATTAAATGCAGATGTTAAACGTGAAGATCTCTTGTCTCGCTCTTGCATCGATTTTGGATACGTCAGTCAAAGGGAATTATTGACTTCATTTTGGTGAATCCCGACGTGATCGGGGCAGGAGCGGGACAGAGATGAGCTCAGTTATAGAGACTGGATTTGTGGGTTTGGAAAAATCTCTCTGCTCTTCAAAAAGGTCGCTTCTAAGGTAAGCGGATCACAGTTTTGGAAATCTGCACATTGTTTTAAATAGAAGAGAGAGAGATTTTGGCTCGACAGATTGCAGCGTGGCCAGACGACCGCCGTGACGGGGCGTTCTATCGGACGCGATAGAACAATAGTCAGGTTTAGACGTTTTAACCTTGGGGGAAGCATGGGTCCCTCCAAAAAAAACAGAATAGATGTTGAAAAGAGAGCCACAGGATTTAGAAGTGCAAAAGAGGCACACCTTCGTGCAGAGAGGCACAAGCATATTAGTGAAAAATAGGAATAGAATTAGAGAAATAGGGATAGTTAGGGTCAGAAGTGATAGGATAATAAAAACTCCATATCCCCCGGGGGGCGGGAAAAAAAGGGTACATTTTGAGTAAGATGGTTTAAGGTAGTCTGAGTAAGAAGGTTAGGGTTCATGTTTGTTTTAGCTGTTGATTGACTGGACTTGTGTTGGTGATTTCAATGGTTTAGTAAAGTCTCTGAGATGACTTCTGTTGTGACCTGGGCCTATTACAAGATAAATTGTATTGTATTGTAAGTAAGTTGGTTTAGGTTTTAGGTTTAATAGGCTGGGTTCTGAGTAAGATAGTTAGGTTAGGGTTTAAGGCGGTCTGGAGTTAGATGGTTAGGGTTAGGGTAAAGGGTGGTCTGCCGTAAGATGGTTAAGGTTAGGGGGTTAAGGTGGTTGAGTAGATCGGTTAAGGTTAGGGTTAGGTGAGTGCTGAGTAAGATGTTAAGGATTAGGGTTAAGGTGGTAGAGTGAGATTCGTTAAGGTTAGGGTTAAAGCTGCACTATTGATTTGGGATTTTGAAGCCGCCAGACTCGCTGGCCTCTCTCTTTTTGCTCCCCTCCCCGCACCGACGAGCTATCGCCCCCACACACACCCCACTGTTGGGACGGAGCTAGCGTCTCCCACTATGGATAAATACATGGACATGATTTGTCACGTGGATGGCGTGACCATTAGACGATAGAACCGGGAAGCGCGGAGGAACGAGACTTTCTTTTGGGATGGCTGTCTCGCTGTGTAATCAGTACCTGGGACGACTGACGAGGAAGCATCAGGTTAGCTCCGCCACTTGTTGTGCTAAACTCAGCCTTCTGTGCCTAACGGACCTGCTAGATTTCTCACGAATAGTGGGGGTTGCAGTGGTCGCTGTGATTGGTCACAATTGGACCCGAAAACACATTCTCTTCCTGTTTCTACAAAACTCGATCTAAAATATAAGTACGCCCAGCCCAAATCCTGCGGCTACTTATTTCTTCAATAAGGACGAATATCCATTGCACATGCTCAATGGGCCATGGATAGCTTTTCAGTAATGAATACAAAAATAAAGTCAGATAGTGCAGCTTTAACCCTCACCTTAACCATCTCATCAGTCCACCTTAACCCTAACCTTAACCATCTTAACTCAGCACACCTTAACACTAACTTAACCATCTTCTCAGACCACCTTAAACCCTAACCTTAACTCTTACTCAGACCCACCCTTAATACCCTATAACCTAACCACTCTAACCAGACCGCTAAAACCTAACCTAAACTATCTTACTCAGACCGCCTTAAACCTAACTTAACCATCATAATTACAATTACAATACAATTTAATCTTGTATAGCTAGGTACAAACAGAAGTCATCTAGAGACTTAACAAAACCATTAAATCACCAACCACAAGTCAGTCAATCATCAGCTAAAACACATCGAACCCTAACTTCTTATCTAGACTACCTTAACCATCTTACTCAGACCACCTTAACCTTAACTCAACCTTAAACCATCTTACTCAGCCGCTTAACATTAACCTAACCATCTTATCAGACGCCTTTAAACCTAACCTGTAAACCATCTTATCAGGACGCTTAACCCTAACCCTCAACCATCTTCCCAGACCGCCTTAACCTCTAACTCAAACCTTAACCATCTTACTCAAGACCGCCTTAACCTTAACTACCATCTACTCAGACCGCCTAACCAAAAAACCTTAACCATCTTACCTCAGACCGCCTTCAACTAAACTCAAACCATCTTACTCAGACCGCCCTTAACCTTAACTCAAACATAACATCTTTACTCAGACCGCCTTAACCCTTAACCCTAACCATCTTACCTCAGACCGCCTTAAACCTAACCATAACCATCTTACTCAGGACCGCTTAACCATAAACCTTAACCATCTTACTCAGACAGCCTTAACCTTAACCTTACCCTAACTTAACCATCTTACTCAGACCACCTTTACTACTTAACCATCATCTCAGACCACTTAACCCTAACCCTAACCATCTTACACAGACACCTTTACCTAACTTAACCATCTTCATCAGACCCACCTTAAACCTAACCTTAACCATCTAACTCAGGACCGCCTTAACCTACCTACCATTCGTACTCAGACCACCTTAACCCTAACCTTAACCATCTAACTCAGGACCACCTTAACCCTAACCTTAACCCATGTACTGAAGTCAAATAATTCCCTTTGACTGACGTATCCAAAGTCGAAGCAAGAGCGAGAAAGAATCTTCCAGGTTTAACATCTGCATTTAATTATCATTCAATCAGATACAGCAATATTCAACAAAAAAAGTGCTCTAACACTATATGTCCCTCTCCTGGCCCTCGGCTGACTGAATGCCAATCCCTCCCAGCAGTTTCTATCAAAGGTCCGTGACGTCACCAGTTCTGGGAATGGTCTGGGCCCCTGGTCCTGGTCTGGACCGGTCTTCCATCTCCACCTGAGCAAACAATGCCCCACCACTGGGCGCCTGATTGTGTTGGACTTTTGCCCTCGTCGCGCCAAAAGTGGGCGAGAGCATTTGTAATTCTTGGAGTCAATAATTGTCTGGTTTTGTAAAGCTGTCCATCTCTTATGATTCCTGCGTGCATATTTCCTTTGTCTGATGTGCAGCATTTTGTGAATATTCGTCAGTCCCTCTTTTGACCTATTATTAACCAATAGGTCACAATCTTTCATATTCCCTGGTGACGGGACAGGGGAGATTCCATCATCTAGTTCTGGGCTCGATATCTGTGATGAGTTAATACAGGAAGACGAACAAAACACAACCACATTGAAACATTCCTTCACTAAACTCTTTGATGACCACTGCTGTCATTCTGATCCTTCTTTAACCTCGTCTGTAATGTATGCACTAAAATATTCACATCAGTTTAAAACAATCTATCTATTTACCAATATGTTGATCTTTGCTTTTATTGAGGCCATATTCTTAAAACATCATGTTTTTATCTAATAAATCTATCTATAACTGTGGTTCTGCTGTTCAATATCAGTGGCTCTGTTTCCCATTTTGTGGGGGCTTTGCTCATTTTTCCAAACAACCTTTTGTTGAACCAGGAAGTGCTGTCACTTTCCTTCTCTCAGACCGTTTGGGATAAATGTACATCGTTAATCACATTGGTATTATCCGTACAGGAGCTAATCTATTTAGCAGGTTTTCTTGGGTTAGTCCCTATACAACGGTATTTTGTTTCATAATCTGTTGCTGACTCTTAAAATTCTCAAAACTACTAACGCTCTACTTTTGTGCTATAACCAAATCAATAAATGCTTTCAAATGTTTTTTTTAACTCTTTTGAATCTGTGTTGGTTCTAATCGATTCATAATCTATCTCATTAGCTTTTTGCGATTGTCAACATTTCACCTATTGTTTGAAACAAGTGAATTTGACAGTATCTAATAAAAAACTGTGCATAAACTGTAATGAACTTTCTCTACCTTTGAAGTAAATACTTTTGGAATAATATGAAGGAATGGTCTTTTACGTTTGATAATAGCCTGTCTAAAAATAATCTCTATTTTTGAAAGCATCTATCTTATTTTTACCACTTATTGTGACTCCAAAATCTTGGTTGTAGTTGAGCCAAAGCATATTCCCAACTGTTGAGTCTGATTGTACAATAGCATTGCAATAGA